CATGAATAAGCAAATAAAATGCTACATGGAAATAGGTAGAAAGGGCAAATATCTGAAAATTATTGCTGCCACTAACTCCCAGCCATGTGATCTTTAAAAACCAGGAGAAATAACTTGGCTGCAAAAATTCCTGCTGAAGAATGAGAGGTTCTAGCCCCACAACTGAACCCCTGTTCCCCATGCCACTGGTAGCAAGACAAGTCCCCAGAACCCCTGGCCGGAGAAACCAGTGAGGAATTGGTGGACAGACACAGCAAATACCTGGAGACCCATGTGTTCCCCTTAAATGGCATAAGAATGGAATAATAAAGATTCAGTCACTCTGAGCTGTGAAATCATGGCAGCAATTAGACATGCTGAGACAAAATGAATAGTCTGGCATCACAGTGAGAGTTGGAGAGGCCCTCATCAGACAGATGTGCTGTCAGAGGTAATTGATCCTATTCTGAAAGCATGCCCAACACTAACATGAGACTCAGTAGGATAGGCACCATAACACTATCCTATCACCCTCCTACAGGTGGTAGCTCTGCTCTCCTGACTCCTTGATATCTTGCCCCACCAAATCTGCAGGTTTACCTGAGCTGTTTCCAGACTATTCCACAACATCTGGTCTGTCTTAGATCATGCATCAGATATTTGTAACATCTATCAAAAAGGTCGCATCTGTCTTCTACGTATCCTGTAACACTTGCTGTGTGGCCCTCAGCCTGATGCCATGAGCAGTAGACCATTTTGCCCAGCTTAGCTTTTTCTGGGCACCTCTAAGACAATCTAAATGAGCAGCCACCTGAAGTCTTTGTATCTCATAGTAAGTCACCTAGCAGAGAGTAAGTGGCAGCACAGGTGAACATCCCAAAGCTAGGACATCTGGCAGACAGCTTCACTCAAAACATAGAACCACACAACCACCTCCTTAAGTGAGAAACTGAAGAATCTGCTTCAGTGGTAACCAGAGTTATAGAGAAGTAACTCTAGCCTTGAGGGAATGACCCTAGACAAGTAAATGTGCCATAGTACTTGGGGTGAAATATTGGTTGTTGTTGCTCATCCTCATAGTCAACTGACCCAGGTGTAAGTCGATCTCATTAAGGTGCAAAAGTAACCAAGGCTAAACTACCATGGGAGTGTGTACACTGCCCACAATGGAAAGGAGGGCACAGGTAAAGCCCCCAGCTTGAGTGAACAGGGAGACTGTGCCAGTGGTTTCTGTAGGGCACTCACTACATGAGTCCACTCTACAAAGGGCAAGCAACATAGCAGCTCTACACAATAAATGGAAACGAACACAGGGGAGTTGTCAGAATGAAGATTAAAAACCTTTTCCTATTTGAAAGAAAAGAACTTAGCGACATTAAAATTAAGAACAATTTGACAGTAAACAAAAAGGAAGTGGAAGGGGATAACGGGGGAAAGAGAAGGATTTTCAGGAAAAACTATAAAGGACACATGGACAAAACCAAGGGTGGGTGGAATGGGGAGGGAGTTGGGGATGGCTAGGGTGGAGGGGAGTGATGGGGGATAAATACAGACCACTGTACTTCAACAAAAATAAAATAAAAAAAGAAGGTAAGAAATGACCACTTTTTTGGGAAAGAAGATAATGAATATTCAGTAAGCAACTAGATATCACTACTACACATTTAGATTCTAAAATTAATCCAGATTAAAGTATTTGATTCCTGTCACATGTCAATTTGTAACAGTATAGAATATGAAAGATGGATTGCATGACAATGTCAGGCTTTAAAAAAAACTTTAGTGAAGTAATTTTCATTTTTTTAAGATTTTATTTATTTAACTTTGTAGGCAAATGGAAGGAGAGAAATATCAATGTATGGTTGCCTCTCCTGTGTCCCCTGCTGCAAACTGGCCTGCAACCCAGCCATGTGCCCTGACTGGGAATTGAACCACCATCCTCTGTTTCACAGGCATGGGCTCAATCCCCTGAGCTACACCAGCAAGGGCAAGTAAAGTAATTTTCAAAAACTAATAACCAGAACTTCAGAACTCTGAAGTTATACTTGTTTGCCCTTGAAAAAATATTTCAGTGTTAAGAACAGTTGTTGCCACTCTTAAAAATTAGCATTTTCCCTGCTGGTGTAGCTCTGTGGATGGTGTGTGGGCTACTAACTAAAGATGGTCAGTTCAAACCCCATTCGGGGCACATGCCTTGGGTTGTGCTCCAGGTTCCCAGTGGGGCCACCTGAGAGGCAACCACACATTGATGTTTCTCTCCCTCTCTTAGTCCCCCCTTCCCTTCTTTCTAAAAATAAATAAAATATTTTTAAAATATAGTAGAAAATAAAAATTATCATTTGTTAAGCACAGCATGTTGGTATTGGATAGTGAGCAACAGTTACATAAAAGACCACAGGAGAAACTAAGAGAGACAACTTTATTCCCCAAAGATGCTGGGAGACGTACACAGCAAGACTTCAGTGGCTACAATGAGGATGTGGCTAAATCCTGGGAAACTATAGGAGATCCCAGGATACCTGTCTTAATTCAGGGTCATGTGCAGAGGATTTTGGCATCCTGGAGCTCAGTTCACATTGTTCAAAATGAATGGAAAAAAAAAGCAACATTCAGTGTGCAGAGATCTTATGGCCATGTGTGGTGAAAGCCTCAGGTGGAAGGAAGACTGTTGCACAAAGCAGCTTCCAGGAAGTCAGGTCAAGAAGGAACATTTAAGCCCTGGCTGGTGTAGCTCAGTGAATTGAGCAGGGCTGCAAACCAAAGTGTCACCACTTCAATATCCAGTGAGGGCACATGCCTGGGTGGCAGGATGGGTCACAAGTTGGGGCCATGTAGGAGGCAACCACACATTGATTTTTTTCTCTAACTCTCTCCACCACTTTCCCTGTGTAATCATAATCATAATCATAATCATAATCATAATCATAATACAAAGAAGGGACCTTTAACTGTGACTCTGTGAGATGTTATCTACTGTGAAATTGAAGCAGAAGGTACGGGCATTTCAAGGCTCCTAGTTACAGAAAATTAATTGCATCAATAATGCCAGCAATATTATAAAGTAGCTTAGCTTCTCATTTCAAAAAGCACATATCAACTGTTGTAATTATTAGAATGGTCCATTAGGAACAATGAAATATATCAATAATGGGAAATTTTCCACAATATTTCATTTCTAAGGACACCATGGAAAGAAACTGCTAATGCCGTATTTGCACTACATTACCAAATAACACATTGTTATCTGTAAACCTGAGTAATGGTAAAGACATAAACACATTACAGTACATTCACCTTTATTAATAAATATATGAATTCACACATTTTCTAAATAAAGAATCACAATACAATTGTGTTACAAGTTCTCAAACCAGACACTGCAAACATTTGTAGAGTGTTTACTGTTCTTGCATATTATGATCCCAGACTGCAGTTTTCTTTGGTTTCTAACAGGAGGCTAACTGTTGAGCAAACATGGACATAAAACATTGTTATGCACTGAGAGATGAACTGTCCATATTCCATCACATATCACTGATGGCTTTTTTATTCCAACCACATCAACTAATATTTAACTCTGACTTTGATGAAAATACATCAGGATTTTAACAAATTGATTTTCCTTAAAGAAAGATTAAGAAAAATAGTTAAAATTTATATTGTTTCTACATCTTACTATATTGCAAAATAGTGTGACTTCCATGGCAACATTAAATAAAAGTGAGTAACCTAAAAAAAAAAGAACTTCAATCAGATTTTTTTCATACATTGTGCATCATGGTTTCCTCAATCTTCTACACAAATGTAATTGTGAGTTATGTTCACCTACTCTACAAGACTTCACAGGTTGTTAAGGAACCAACAATCAACCCAGTAATTTCACTCACACCAGGAATTAAAACATAGTAGCATCAACTGATACAAGACTAAAATCAGTTTAATATTTCCTTCTCAAAATATTTCAAATACTGTCAATACACTGTACTTTATATTCTGAGTAATTATAAATATCTAGAAATCAATCCCTTTGACATTTTTAAGCACAGTGGAAAGTAATGATTGATGTTTCTAAACTTTGTGCAATTCTCTGTACTAATATTCTGCTTGGGAGCAATACCTGAAATCTATCATTAACTCTCCACTCTGAATTATGATATTTTGAGCTACTATTTCCATTACATAGTTTCCTAAATTTTTACACCTTTCAAGCCACTTTCATGTATAAATTCTTTTTTGGTTACAGAAACTGTAATTTCAAAAAGTCTACCAGTCTTCATGATTATAGGATTCCAACCCACTGTGCTTTCCCTGATATATAACAAGGCTGTATGTCCAGGTATAGAATTTTCTACAAACTCTGTTTTAATGTTTTTTTTAATAATGTGAATTGTCATATGCCACATAAGAAGTGAATGTTGAAAAATGTGCTTTAAAATGTTGGGTATGTTTTGGATATAGGTTAAAATATTGCCATAGTCTCATTTGAACAGTTTTTCTTCAGATGGATGTCTCTCACTCATATTGGGTAAGGCACCCCTGATGGATAAAATACTTGTGATATACACTAGTTTGTATGGTTTCTCTACTGTACTCATGGCCTGATGCCAAAACGTTTTGTCACCTAGCTCACATTTATAAGCCTTGTTTTCATTATGAATCCTCTGAAGTTTAGTAAGAGTTGTGAGTGGCTCAAGGCTTTATTCCATCATGCACATTTAAAAGGCTTCACTACAGTGTGAATATATTTTATGATGAATGAGCATTAAGGACTCGTAAAAGCCTATGCCATGTGAGGTATATGTATAAGGCATTTCTTTGTTGTGAATTATTTGATATTGTGTAAGGTTTGAGAGCTGTAAAGATGCTTTGCCACATGCTCAACACACAATTGCTCTGTTATATAAATTTTCTAATGCCAAGAAAAGTTACATTACAGGTGAAAGGCTTTACCACATACTTCACATACATAAGGATTCTCAACAGTATGAATTTTCTGATGCCGAGTAAAGGTTGAGGTCGAGCTAAAGATTGCCACATGGCATATATTTACCAGGCTTCTCTCCAGTGTGAATTTTCAAATGTCGAGTGAGGTGCCAGTTCTGCCTAAAGGGTTTGCCACATTGTGTACATTCATAAGGCTTCTCTCCAGTATGAATTTTCTGATGTTGAGTAAGTGTTGACTGCCACCTGAAGGCTTTGCCACATTGAGTACATTCATAAGGCTTCTCTCCAGTATGAATTTTTTGATGTTGAGTAAGTGTTGACTGCCGCCTGAAGGCTTTGCCACATTGAGTACATTCATAAGGTTTCTCTCCAGTATGAATTTTCTGATGTTGAGAAAGTGTTGACTGCCGCCTGAAGGCTTTGCCACATTGAGTACATTCATAAGGCTCCTCTCCAGTATGAATTTTCTGATGTTGAGTAAGGGTTGACTGCTGCCTGAAGGCTTTGCCACATTGAGTACATTCATAAGGCTTCTCTCCAGTGTGAATTTTCTGATGTTGAGTAAGGGTTGACTGCCACCTGAAGGCTTTTCCACATTGAGTACATTCATAAGGCTCCTCTCCAGTATGAATTTTTTGATGTTGAGTAAGGGTTGACTGCTGCCTGAAGGCTTTGCCACATTGAGTACATTCATAAGGCTTCTCTCCAGTATGAATTTTCTGATGTTGAGTAAGTGTTGACTGCTGCCTGAAGGCTTTGCCACATTGAGTACATTCATAAGGCTTCTCTCCAGTGTGAATTTTCTGATGTTGAGTAAGGGTTGACTGCCGCCTGAAGGCTTTGCCACATTGAGTACATTCATAAGGCTTCTCTCCAGTGTGAATTTTCTGATGTTGAGTAAGGGTTGACTGCCGCCTGAAGGCTTTTCCACATTGAGTACATTCATAAGGCTCCTCTCCAGTATGAATTTTCTGATGTTGAGTAAGGGTTGACTGCTGCCTGAAGGCTTTGCCACATTGAGTACATTCATAAGGCTTCTCTCCAGTATGAATTTTCTGATGTTCATTGAAGTGTGAGAGCTGGCTAAAGGCTTTTCCACACTGTGTACATACATAAGGTTTCTCTCCAGTATGAATTCTTTGATGTCGAGTAAGTTTGTACTTGTACCCAAAGCATTTGCCACATTGAGGACATTCATAAAGCTTCTCTCCAGTATGAATTTTCTGATGTTCAGTAAGAATTGAGGAATGTTTAATTGCTTTGCCACATTGAGTACACTTATGGGACTTCCTTGCAGCATGAATTCTCCAGTGTTCTGTAAGTTTTGAGGGCATCCTAAAAGCTTTGCCACATTTTCTGCATTCATAAGGCTTCTCTCCAGTATGAATTTTCTGAACTTGTCTGAGGTTTGAGGTCCTCATAAATGCTTTCCCACATTCTCTACACATAGGAGAGTTTTCACCAGTATGAATTCTCTGATGCTGAGGAAGATTAAAAGACTCTCTAAAGTCATTGCCACATTCACTACATTTGAAATTTTCATCTCCTATATTAATTTTCTGAATACCATTAACATTTGAGGAGTGGTCAAAAGCTTTAGCATATTTTTCACAGTTATAAGGCTTGTGTCCAGCATGCAATCTGTGATGATGAGTAAGAGTTGAGGAAATGCAAAATGAGTTGCCAAATTCTTTACAAATTTCAGGCTTCTGTCCAGGATAAATTATTTCATGTACAGTTCCACCTAAAAACGAGTGACCTGTTTTACCACAGTCTTCACATTTATGTCCTATACTGGTACGTCTTTTGGTAAGTATATTTGTATTTGATATTTGATTGAAGAATTTCCAGTGTGTCAAATATTTATAAACTTTCTCCCTGACTGCAATATTTGTTTTTTTGATGCTATTTGAAGATTGCTTTAAGCATTGGATATTTTTACTTTGCTTATTTGACTTCTCCAGAACAGGAAACACCTGATGACTATTGTGATTTGACATTTGGTCAAAGTCTTTTCTACCTTCATAATGGCTGTCTGCAAGATGACTCTTGGCCTGGAAGTTAGGATGTGACTCATGGGTAAAATTCTTCCAATGTTCACTGCATTGACTACTTCTGTCCTCATCACACATACTCTGGTAAACATTGAACACAGAAAGGCCTTTAGTGACATCGAAAATTTCATTAAACTTGTGCATTTATTTATAAATAATAATTCGGTGATCCCTATAATTCCACATTGGTTGTATTAAAAATCATACTCAAGTTCAAGAATATATGATATAGTAGAATAAAAGAAAATATTATTTCTAAGAAATGCAATATTTTCTAAAGAAAGGGAATCTCAAATTTATTACATATAAGCTTTCTACATGCATTCTAAATAATTACATTATACAAATTATTGACTGAAAAGTATTTCCCAATCCACATTTTAAACAATTAAATGTTTACCCACACCACAAATTATGACATTTCTTAGAATTTCCAAACAGTCTCTAGAACAGAGGTGTCAAAGTCATGGGCCACATTAGCCTCACAGTTGGTTTCAGTGCGCTGCATGTACTTTTAGGACCATGTAAATGTAACTACTCCTTATCTAAGGGCAAGGAATTTGTTGCTTCCTCCAGGTAGCAACAAGGTTCTGAGTTTGAGAAAAGAAGGTCAAGGGCCAGATTCAGCCTTGAGTTCTTGTGTTTACCACCTATGCTTTAGAAGAATACGTACACTTGGAGTATTGTTTTCAGTCTTCCTAATTGGAAATACATTGGTCTGTAATGGAAACTGATTTAAAGTGGAAGTTTTCTCAGATTTGTAATATTTTTTACATCTTTAGATAGCAATGATTTTTCATTAATAATTTTTATAGTTAGTTTCTTCCATTCCAACATCCCTTTTTTGTCATAAACTTCCTTAGCAGTGTCAAAGGCACACCTCTCATAACTCACCAGTGTTTCTTCCAAAAATAGATCTTCTATTCCTGACCTTTCCAAGAAGCACTGGTTGTCAGTAGATGACAAAGCTGATAGAAACAAAAGAAAGATTCACAGTTATGACACACAGGTGAATGTACATTTACCTTACAAGAAAATTTTTAAACAAATCACATCGCTGAGTACTTCACAAACTTAAATACTTGCAGGAGGATGAGGTGTGGTACAATGAGAAAAAGTCACACAAAAGGGAAATAATGGTTGCTTATACTCATAAAGCACTGTGCTCATCCCTCTTATCACACAATGGATATAGGATAAATAAGCTCCTTATTCCTATTGTTTGCTAGACAAATAGTGGGTCCACTGTATTCAATGCTCTAGATGTTTCCTGCGCCTTCAAAATATGCGTTTGTTTTGTTTTTTTTTTGCAGGACACACAATGCCCAAGCCATAACAGCACAGAATGAATACATTACAGTGCACACTAAACAGAAAGGGTAATAGTTGAAATAACTCAAACCAGTGGACTGAAGATCATATCAAGCATAAAAATATGTCATGGGCTTTGACGAGGAAACAGACATTAGATAAAACTTGCAACCCAGAAACACTCAAATACAAACACACATTCCTGTGTTTAGAGAAATTAGAGTTTAAAGTAGGGATGGATATTATTTCCTTTTCTATTAACCTGGACAAAGCAAGTTCATAACGCCTAACTCTTTACAGTTCTGAACCTCAATAAATATTTCAAGACAGGAAACAGAAAACCAAGGTCAAATCAGAAAACTGAAGTACATGTACAAAAATTACCCCTGGCTGGTGTGGCTCAGTGAATGGAGCACTGGCAGGTAAACAAAGGGTTGTTCATTCTATTCCCAGTCAGGGCACATTCCTGGGTTATCATGCAAGTCAGGTCCCTGGTAGGGGGGATGCACCAGGCAACTACACAGTGATGTTCCACTCCCTCCCTTACCCTCTGCCTAAAATAAATTAAAATATTAAAAAATGTGCATGTATAAAAATTGATACTACCGACATTGAAATATTTTAATTTATGGATAAACAACTGAATATACCAACCTGAAAATAGAAACATAGGAAAATATGACATCTCTTTAATAACAGCAAATCAGTGAATGACCAAATTAAAATGAAAAGTGAGAAAATGTAAAAATAAGAGAAGAAAATAATGGAAAGGTGAAAAATACATTGCAATTCAAAAATACAATAATAAAAAATACATGAAAATTAAGAAACATCAAATGGTTGCCTGTTTATGTCCAAGACCTTGTTCAAAACCCACAATCCAGGCATGTTCCTTTTCTCAAAAGTATGCTGGTTACTTTGAAATTCACGAATGATGGTGAACAAATGGAGCCAGTCTAATAGGTCTTAATTTACTAAAAGAAGGGGTTATATGACACTCTGGGATTTTTTTTTTTACTAAAACAACCAAAGGAAATGTAAAGAAGAAAAAAATAATTCAATGACATTGAAACAAATATAAAAACTACTGCACATTAAGGTAAACAACCAGTAAGTTAAAATGACAGGTTGCAGAACAAAAAAAATTCTGTAAATTGTATCTGATAAGTAGTTAATATCCAGGTTATATGAATGACCTGTACAAAACATCATCATGATAAAGAGGGAGGCTTCCAAGACCACGATAGAGTAGGAAGAAGCAGATTACATTTCCCCATACACATGGGAGAAAATCATGGTGGATCTTAGGAGGAACAGCGCAAACAGCCAACAGTTCCCCAGCATATATGAAAATAATAGACCAGAAATCATAACAGCCCCGCGAAAGCCAGACAGTAAGGAGATGGCTTCAGTACACTAGAGTCTCAGGAACCAGAGCTAAGGCAGGAGCAGCAGTGGCCTCAGTCAGCACACAGTGTCCAGAGCCCAGTATCCAGCTCCTGGTGCATGTACCACAGTCTCTTTGGGAGGCCCGGGCCTGACAAGGGTCCTTGGCAGAGAGTTGGGTTATCAACTCCCTTCCTCCCAGGCCAAGCAAGATTGGGTGCGGGGAGAGACTTGATTGCTAGAATTTGCAGAGAGGCTACTAAAAACAAAAGGCCAAGATCTACTGCAGACTCTGTGGTCACCAGCTCGGGCAATTAGAGAGGCTCATTATGGGGCCATGACTCCAATAGTCACTGGTCAGGCTGGGGGATTAAGCTGTGATGACAGGCAGGCTTTCTAAAGGAAAAAGTTTTTGGAAAGTAAACTGGAGGATTCTCTGCAACAGCCACTTGGCCTGCTCCCCACATAGCCTGGCAGTGAACCCCAGGTTAGGTAGAGGGCCTGAAGTTTCCCCAAAGAACTGGGTTGGGTCTGCACCTGAACCCATGAGACCCAGGCAGCCTGGCCAGTTAGCCTCTCAACCCTGCCCACAGTGATAACCCCTGGGAAAGAGTGTAATGAGGAAGACCTAGATCCCCTTCACGGGATCCAGGGGAAAGAACACCAGGATAACAGAAAAGGACTGCAGTGAATTTCACAGGCATTCCCCCACAGATCTTCACACCATAAAAACACTGACTCAGAGCAAATGAATTTCAGAACCTGAGGCAAACAAGAAGAGTCTCACAACCAATTGGAAGACAAAGAAACAATATCCAAAAGAAAGAAAAGAGAGAAGCCTAAGAAACAATGTTAGATGAAATAGAAGCAAGTCAACTATCAGATATCGAATTCAAAGAACTGGTTATCAGGAAGTTCAAAGAGCTCACAATGAGTTACCAGGAAGTATAGGGGGGCTACAATGAACTCACTGCAAACTGTATCAACATGAAGAAGGAAATAGAAACCGTCAGCAAGGAACAACAGAATATGAAGAATACAATTTCTGAACTGAAGAACAGGATAGAAGGAATCAAAAGCAGAATCTATGAAGCAAAAGATTGGATCAGTGAGTTGGAGGACAAAGTAGAAAAAACTCACAAAAAGAAAAAGAAAAGAAAAAGAGGCTCAGAAAGAATGAAGAGGGTTTCAGAGAAATGCAAGACAATATGAAACGTAATAAATTCTGAATAATAGGGACACCAGAAGGAGAAGTGTAAAGGATAGAAAACCTATTTTAAAAACTAGTGAGGAAAAACACATAATTTGATGAGAAAAAAAAGTCACACAAATCCAGGAATCACCGAGAGTCCCAATCAAGAGGAACCCAAAGAGGCCCACTTCAAGAAACATCATCATCAAAATGGCAACATTTCCAGATAAAGAGAGAGTCTTAAAGGCAGCATGGGAGAAAACAAAACTAACATACAAGGGAGATGCAGTTAGTTTAGGTACTGACTTCTCATTAGGAATGCTCCAAGCAAGAAGAAAATGGCAAGAAATATTCCAAGTAATGAGAACCAGAGGCCTGCAACCAAGGCTACTTTACCCAGTAAGTACTCTCAATCATAATAGAAGTCCAAATGACTTCCAAGACAATAGAAGTCTAAAAGAATATGCTTCCACAAAACCAGCTCTTCAAGAGATGCTAAAAGGAGTGCTTTAAGGAAAATAAGAAACAGAGTGAAACAGAGAGAAACACAGGTATAAAAATGGCAATGAATAAGTACCAATCAATAATAACATTACACATAAATGGATTAAATGCTGCAATCAAACACATAGAATATCTGAATGGATAAGAAAGCATGACCCAAACATATGCTGCCTACAAGTAATGAACCTCAGGAT